AAAAAAAAAGAAAAGATCTTTAAAATATGATCACACCACTACTTTGCTATATCAGGAATGTTTTCAGCTGCAAATAATAGAAAAATCTAAAGTTACTTAAAAATAGTGCTTTTTTTTTCTCACATGAGACAAAGTCTGGCAGGCAGCAGACTTCAGGGCTGTCCAATGACTCAATAAGTTCATCAAGGATACATCTTGTTTGCATTTTTTTATTCAGCTACACATAGCATGTTTGCTTGTTGCTTCATAGTCTTAAAATAGCTGCCACAACTCCAGGCATCACTTCTACACTGAAGGCGAGAAGAGGGAAGGGGCAGTGACAGTAAGCTCTCCTTTCTAGTTTTCTGCTTTAAAAAGAAGCAAAACTCTTACAGAAGCCTTCTATCATATCCACTTGCCAGAATATAGTTTCACACCCACCCTGAAACCAATCACTGGTGAAGGGGCATAGCATTACCATGATTGGCTAAAACCAATCATGGAGGAGGAAGAAGGTTCCAGGGAATCAACAATCCCTACATAAAGGGATTTTATGTGCACTGATTACCAAAACACAAAATTGGAAAGAAGAAAGGAAGAATGTTGTTCTGCATGGAGAGATATTCTTTCCATCCTTTGCCCATCTGATTCCTTCTCACTCTTTAGGTCTCTATTTTTTTATTTTATTTTATTTTTAAGTATATTTACTTTTGAGAGAGAGAGAGAGACAGAGAGAGAGACAGAGAGAGGCAGAGAGAGCACAAGTGAGGGAGGGGCAGAGAGAGAGGGAAACACAGAATCCGAAGAAGGCTCCAGGCTCTTAGCTGTCAGCACAGCCTGACGTGGGGTTTGAACCCACTAACCGTGAGATCATGACCTGAGCTGAAGTCAGATGCTTAACTGACTGAGCCACCTAGGCGCCCTAAACCAGAACTTATTTATCTTTGGATGTGGCAAGAAAAACAAAACAAAACAAAACAAAAACCAGAAACAATATGTGCACAAAGGAGATTCATTTGACTTTTACACGTTAAAAAAAAATACAGCCCTAAAAGAATATAGGATATGGGAAAGAAACTCTAAGGATGTTATATTTAATGTGAAAATTTTGATAAAGTGTGTGTTTTAGGTAGGACCTGATAATAAATTATTTAATGAATTAATGTAAACTCAGTGTAAACCAGAGAAGTCCCGAATGACCTTTTGGTATACTGCTTCTATCCCGTTTGCTTTCTCCGTACGTCTCGGTTACCCTACAATCTTCCCAGCATTACTCAATCCAAAACCACTTTTCATTGTTGGGAAGAGTTTCCCATAAAGTCCCCCAATTAATTCCTGTTTTCTTTCATTCCCTGCCCACATTACCTCTTGTAAATGAGCAGTTATCTCAGAGCTGGAACAGTGGGAGGGGGAGAAACCGCAGGAATGCATTGCTCCGCTGTCCTGCCCGGTTTCAGCCAACGTGTCCTCTGCCAGTGATGAGACTACAGGCTTGGGGATTTGGGCTTCGTTCACTTCTGCAAAAAACCTTGAGTGAAGGCCTACTGCTTGCAGGACATTTTATAGGTAAAGATTACAGAATGAGACTGACCCCGACCCTGCTTTCATAGAGTTTATATTCCAGGGGGAGCAAATAGAAAATACACACAATGTAGAGGTAAGCCATGGGAAGGATGAATGCTGTGTTGCCCAAGACAATAAAAGATGAGATAAAGAGCGATGGGGTTTGAGTGGGGGTGGCTTTAGTTTGTGCTGCCAGGTAGGGTCGGCTGCTCAGACTGGGTTTCCTGTTAACTGAAATCTGCATGACAGTGAGCCAGATCAGGCTTTGACCTGCTTGCGGGTCTATTTAGGGGAGAAACCACTGGCAAGTCCCTAAAACTCTGTCTCAGTTTTTTCTTCTCCAAACCAAGAAACATAATGACTTTTATAAAACTGTGAAGAACAATGAAATAATTTGTCAAATAACCTTGTATATGAGTTCAGTTACTGAATTTAGAATGTATGTTAATTACCTCACTAAACACAATTCCCACAAAATATAAAGGGCTATGCAAAGGTCTGTTGTTGTGGTTCTTCTTATTGTTAAGCTCCCTCCCCTTTCTTCCAGGTCAGGTTCCTTTCCTAAGATGGCTTCCAGGGAATGTTCTGAACATTACTTAAGCTGAATGTGAAAAAAATGGCACGCCTGCTCATTTTCCCTTTTTGCTTTTCCCATTCCAACTTTCTCTCAGTGTTAGGTAATACTATATAACTTTCTGACATTCCAGCCCTGAATTTTTGTTGTAACCTTTGAATCATTGTTCTCCTTGAGTCTTAGCATCCATGTGGATGCTCAAAGTACTCTCAGATCCTCTATTTGGCCAAGGGCAGAACAAAACTGCATGGGTTCTTTATGCAACCACTTCCTGCCTGGGTGATGTTAAATTACTTATCCTTGTGTGTTTCATCTATAAAGTGGGAATAAGGATAGTACCTACCTCACAGGATTGTTATTGTAAAGAGTAAATGGTTTATTACCTCAAAAGCACTTCAAATAGTAAGTGTTTCATAAAGGTTGCTTATTTTATAACCCACTTCCTGACTCTATCCATTTTTTCTAATCTGCCTTATCCAGGCTTTTGCTATCTCACTTTAAGCTGTTGCTATCCCTTGCATATAGCCACTCCACACAACCATATGCAAAATTGTCTTAATTGCCTATTATTCCTTCCTTCCTTCCTTCCACAAATATTTGTAAAGCACTTACTATGTGAATGTCATTGTACTAAGTGCTATGGCAGATTCCTAAAATAGAAAACATGGTCCTTCATTGGTAAGGTCAGAATCTAGCTGAGGGAGGGGTTCATATACATGTAAAATGCCAAACAACAATATGTGTCAAATAGCCATGAAATGAATATAAGGGCAGTCACATAACATTACCTACTTTGTGTTTCCTACTTTGCAAATATGCATGCAATCCTTTATTGGCTTAATAATTTACATGCATGTTCTCAGGTGTATGCAGTATTTATTTGATTTTCCCTTTGATCCTTATATTAATCCTCTCACACTCAAGTACCCTTGACAAGAGGGAGAAGATCTACACCAGAGTTGTTAGTGCATAAGCTCCAGGGGCTCTGCTCTGCTCCTTGCTAACTGTGAGATGTTGGGAAAGTAGCCCAGTTTCTCTGAACCTGATTTCCTCTCTATGGAATGGGGATAAAATGTTGATGTGGGTTGATATGAAGATTGAATGATATAATCCATGTAAATTCTTAATGCCAAGCCTGGTATTTGTAAGTGCTTGATAAACACAAGCTATACTCATAACTGTTTTTTATAGAACTTACAATAAGTGAAAATTCGGTATAGTTCACATGGTGCCTAGTACAGTGCTTTGTAAAATAGTAGACAATGAATTCATTTTGTTATTTATATAGGTTATCAACCATGCAAACTCTGCCTTCACCCTCAAAAGCTTAAAGTGCCCTTTTAATATTTACTAAAATAAGAAGAAAACTAGTAAATATAGGAATTATTGATATTGAAACCAGTAGCCATTGTTCTCTTTGCAAGTATCTTGTTTCAGATCATTGTTCTACTGATATTAACAAATACAATGGAATGTCAAGTATTTGTTACCAGACTCTAAGTGAAATAATAAACTAACTTATCAGACTGTATAACATTTAAAAAGATAAAGCAAGGTAAAAGTTTTTGCCTATAACACAGGTTTTCTATAGAAGCAGAGCAGAAGAGGGGTGCCAGGGTGGCTCAGTTGGTTAAGTCTCCAACTCTTGATCTCAGCTCAGGTCTTCATCTCAGAGTCATGTGTTCAAGCCTCACATTGGACTCCATGCTGGCCTGGAACCTACTTATCAAACAATAAACTTTGTGGGGTGCCTGGGTGGCTCATTCGGTTGAACATCCAACTCTTCATTTTGGGTCAGGTCACGAACCCAGGGTCATGGGATTGAACCCTGCTGTCAGGCTCTGTGCTAAGCATGGAGTCGGCTTGGGATTCTCTCTCTGTCTCTCTCTCTCTCTCCCTCTCTCTCTTCCCACCTCTCTCCCCCTCTGCCTCTCTCCATCTACCCCTCCCCATAAAAAAAAAAAAAAAAGAAGTAGACCAGAAGATTTAAAATTTCTCCAATACTATTTCTTTTTAGAAATTAGATGATGGGCCTTTCAGTAATTGGTGGGATGCCAATCCTCAAATAACTTCAAATGTGGATCTATAATTAAAATCAGAAATTTGAACCATAGAAACATATGTTCTTGATATGTTCTACTATTTCTCTTCATTTTGATTGTTTTATTATTCTCTTCATATGATTGTTTTACTCCCCTATTGCTTTCATATATATATTCTGCTTACACTACAAATTTTACATTGAGTTTTAGTGAATACATAGAATCGATAATGATAAATTGCTATAGGCTGCTGCTTTGGGGGTAAATATAGGGATCCAAGGAAACATGGAGATGATTTCTTCACTCTCCCTACTCCAAGGGAGGCTGAAATGTAATGGCTCAACTTTTCCATCATTGGAAATTCAATCCGCCTCTGAAAAGCAATTTTGGTTTTATAAAGCCACAGTTTATAGAACTTCAGATATCATTCCCAGGGGCCATTTGAAAATGAATCATCAAAGAACTGATATTTGAATCAGAAAGAATGATCATTCATGAAGCTCAGGCACGTCAGGCCAGCAGGCTCATGATCTTGCTTTACAAGAAACAGAGGGCAGAAAGAGATGGCTGAGGGGTTCATGTCGTACAGGCAAGGTCAAGGGTGGAGTCTCCCTCTCTGGGCAGGAGTTGCCTTCCTCAAGAGAGACCTGAGATTGGATGCACAGAATGATTTAGTGTCCCAGGGCATGGCCTGAACGCTTCCACACTTGGATTAAATACCAGAAGCCAAGTTACTAGACTGAAAACCGGGAGGGTGCTATAGAGCTGCCAACCCCAAACGACCAGGGTTGAAATCTAAAGAATATTTCTCCCATCCACTGTGAAGCGCTGTGAAAAAAAGAGGCGGGGAAAAAGGGTTTTGTAGCTGAATCAGACTGCTGATTGCATTTTACTAAAGTTGGGTAAGAAATGTATATTCTGTAAAATCATTGCTTTCTACACTTTTGCATTTCCTTTACTTCCCCTTAGTTTTATAATGGAAACACTTTTTTACTTAAACTCACGGGGAGTCTTTGTGACTTCATTTTCCTGAGACTCACTTCTGTTGAAGCCACCAACCAAAGTGGATATTTGGAAAAAAAAATAATGTGATGACAAAAGTTTTCTCATCAAACCTGGAGAGGTTGAAAAGGAGTTTGGGAGAAGAAAGAGAAGCCCAGAAGACATTGGAGAAATTAAGAGTGCATCATAAATGTAACCCAAAGCAGAATATTCGGTAAAACGTGAGGTTCAAAGCCAAATCAGCACGTCAGGCAAAAATGACACTTCTTTCTTGGCTTTACGAGACAGAATCCTAAGGCCACATACCTTCAAACACCTTTAAAACCACAATCATTTCTCACAAGTAGTCGGCCTGAAGTGTGATCTTCAAGCTGTATTTAGACATAAAACTCAAGTCACTAAACCTGTGTGTTTACTGAACTTTTTATAGATGTGTATTTACTGGGCAACCATTGATATTGTCTTCTGTGTGGTTGCCTTAAATGTCAAGGCTGTTGGTGCTGCAAGAGCCCTCCTGCCTCAGCAGGGCTGTGTGCAAACCCACTAGCGTTAATAAAAAGGCAAAGTTCTTGGGGAACAAAGCTAGGATAGTAAAATGTCCTTTTAATGCACAAACCCTGTCAGAACTCTGTCTGCCTCGGTGCTGAGCTTGCTAATAGCTTCAAACATGTAACACCAGTTAATCACACAATTGTTGGGAGATGCAAAGTCACTGTATAATTACTGACGTTTTCAAAGGAATTAGCATGTAGTTACTATGAACAACATGTTCTATTTTGTGGAAACTATGCAATTAACTTGTCTTAGGCTAATAAATTAAGTGTAGCATAAGCCCATATAACAGCTGCTTGAAAGGAGGGACTGGCTGGCGATGCGTTTATTGAGATCACTTTGAACTCACTCGCCTCTGTACTCAATGCAGAGATAGGTGTGTCCTGCTTTAGGGAAGTTAGACACAGGCCCACATCCACTCAACAGCTATTTTGGGAAGTTTGAACACACTTGGTCAGGGGAGAGAAGGTGAGGTTGGAATGAAGAGGGAGGAAAATGTAGCAAAATGATGTTAAAGTGTTAGACACTAACTTGGAGTTGACATGGAACAGGACCTATACCGTGAGTAAATTCAGAAACTCATGTTAAAGGCCATTTATCAGGGACACATCTATTGCAATTGGAAAGGCGTTCTCGTACCGTGCTCAGGAGGTTTCGGATTATTCACAATGAGGTAAAAAGCAGGTTAGCTCCTCTTTTATGTCTTATGCCCATTCAGATTGAATAATAATTGGCCTAGATTTGGTTGAAAAAGAGGAGATAGTCCTCAAATTCATTTTTCAGTGGAGGGTTTGAGAGGGTTCTGAAGGAATTTATTGGTCACTTTTGGGCCTGTTTTAGAATTCAGTGTTGATGTGTTTTCAGGAAAAGATCTAGTGTCTCCCACTTTTGGTAGGAATTGCTGGAAGCAGACGGCTGACTTTGCAGTGCTCAGCCCTGAAATGTCCAGGCCTAGAATTCTGAGCTCTCTCAGCTTCCAGCCAGGGGCACTCTGCTGGCATGTTAATGTCAGAGAGGAGGAGGGGCCCCTCTGCATGTGACAAAGTTCCTGACTCTGGTTGGGGTATAGTTAAAGGTTAGGCTTAATAACTGGATGGAAGAATTTTCTTTCCCTATATTGCTTCTTGACTGGAAATCCTATGATTATATACCTTATCTCAACATCTGCCAGCAACCTCTCTCTAGGAAATGGTCTGTCGTGGAGGTGGGTATCCTACATTTTTATTTAGAAATTGCCCCTTCTTAACTTTCCTCCGACTGCCTACCGTCAACCTTACACAGATTACTAGTGAAAGCAGATGGGGAAAAGGTACGACTTGCTGTCTAACTGCAAGTGAGAGAGGCCGTATACTCTTCAGGCAGCTGTGTGAAGACTTCACATCATGTATTTTACTTTTGGTTGAACCTTCTGCACATGTGTTGGAGTATTTTCCTATGTAACAGAGCATATGCAACAAAGGGTCATATCAAGGTTTTCCACTGAGGTGAAACCCAGTGGCTAGTGCAACAGTAAAAGGGACTGTAGGTCAGGTGGTATTTTCTTGATTATTTTTATATTTTAAAAGTAAAATATAGGCTTAGTTTTTGAATTAAAGAGAAATGTTAATTCCTGGCTAGTTAGACATACTTGCAGCAGAATCTTAAATTGTGTAAATATGGTAAATAAAGTTCTTGTCTTTTTTTTAAAGATTATTTTTTTTTTATTTTTAAGGAATCTCTGTACCTAACATGGGGCTCGAACTCACTACACAAGAATCTCACGCTCCACTGGCTGAGCCAGCCAGGCGCTCCAAAGCTTTCAGCCTTCAAGCAGAATGTAACTATTGAATACGTTCTATGAAAAATTAATTTTGTAGCGCAAGATACTCATTTGGATTAAACTATTCTATGAATTGTTTTTATAATCCATTTTCATTCCTGAATTTGTTATTCAGGTGTCCACCCTCTGCTTTTTTAAAGTTTGCCTTATGCCGCTTCACTTTCACGAAAGATCTACATTGGTACCTGTTTTTGCTAACTGAAAGAAATCTAAAGAGGATTTTCACTTTTCCAAAAAAAAGGGTGCAAAGCAAAAATTGCTTTCAGCGTTTGTTTTGCAGTCAATGGTTATAGAGGCAGCGCGAACCCCAACAGCGAGAGTGGCCTTGCTAAGCTCTTTCCCTGGAACGACACCCAGCATCTTTGCATCAAGCCACCATAGCTCTGAACTCTGTCTGTGAGCATCCACACTCTATCTCGACTTACTGTGTGTATCTACTAGCAAGACGTGTCCCAAGGTTTCAGAAAAGCCTCAGAGATTATTTTTTTGTGTCTGGGAACACTTGGAAAAATTTCCGTATAAATTAATGGTAATCGCTTCTTCAGTTTATGCCATTTCAGCCTACAAAAGCGCTCATTAGGCATGCTCTGTTTTCAAATACTGGGCGAAACCTGTATTGTATTTTATTTTTTTAACGTTTATTTATTTTTTGAGAGATACAGAGACAGAGTATGAGTGGGGGAAGGGCAGAGAGAGTGGGAGACACAGAATCTGAAGCAGGCTCCAGGCTCCCAGCTGTCAACACAGAGCCCGATGCCGGGCTCCAACTCACTAACCGTGAGATCATGACCTGAGCCGAAGTCGGACGCTTAACCGACTGAGCCACCCAGGCACCCCTGTAAAACCTGTATTTTAAAAATGATTCAAAGACACGCATTTTTGTTGAGTGGTATGTCAACATTATTTTAATGACTCTTAGCAAAAAATTAAAAATAATATTACCTACTCTAGTATCTGTTACATTTATTTGCTATCTTCTTTTAGTTCAAAATTGAAAGAGAATTCATCTCCAAGAGACTTCTTAAAAGGTTTTTGTCATTAATAAAAACAAAAATGATTTCATCTGTTCAAAGTTTTGTCAAGATTTAATACTCCGAATTTCTACCAATTTATTTGCTTTCTTTATTGCACAAGAGTCTTTTTGAATAAGAAAAAGGGAAATTCATGTCTCAATTCACTTATATTCTCATATTTCTTTTGACATTATTGAGAAAAGAAAGATGCAAGGAGCTTCTTGTTCAGAGAAGCTGGAAACAGATGAATTTCCTTTTATGGTGAGTGCTCAAAGGATGATTGAGTAAAGAGGTGCTGGCAATGGCCTCTTGCTCATCAAGCATGGAACAGTTTTGAGTAGCCCAGGAATGGAACTGGACAGACTTCAATTCTGCTTCCTACTTCCTGTAGCATGTTGGGCAAGTACCCAGCACCCCTGACCCTCCCTTTTTTTACTTGCAGTAGTAGGATAGTACTTAACTCATCAAGTAGTTCTGAAAATTAAGCTAAATGATATACTATATCTAGAGAACTTATTAGATCTTATCATTTTTGACAATAGGTGAATATAATCAAAAGCAAGCTTCTAGACCCTTCCCTAAGAAGAAATTATTTTCTGCTTAGGTTATTTATAATTATCAGTTTATCTTGTTAGAAAAGCAGCTGGATATTATTAATGTGGATAATCCTTCCTATAGCACAGTTTGGTTAGCTGCTGGGAAAATTTAAGGATAATAAGAGTATTTAGAGTTCATAAGATTCAGTGCGTTCAAAGCCGGTAGATTAAAAAAAAAAAGTGTCCCTCAAGCCTTTCTATTTTCTCCAACATGAAGAATTGTGCATATTCTTGGTGACCATCTTAGGCAGAAAAAGTCAACTAGCAGAAAATATCATAGAAACACATCATACCCTCTTAGGGCACATGTGTGTAAGTTTTGTAATTATAAAAATAATAAAATATTTTTACTTAGGTAATACTTGCATCCATTTATCCCTTCTTTGGGATCATGTCTTATTAACTTTTGTGTAATAATAATGATTATCAATATTAATATTCTTGCTGAGGGGCGCCTGGGTGGCTCAGTCACTTCGGCGTCCAACTTTGGCCCAGGTCAGGATCTCATGTTCGTGGGTTCAAGCCCTGCATTGGGCTCTGTGCTGACAGCTCAGAGCCTGGAGCCTGCTTTGAATTCTGTGTCTCCCTGTCTTTCTGCCCCTTCCCTACTCACACTCTGTCTCTCTCTGTCTCTCAAAAATAAATATTGAAAAAAAAATTAAAAAAATTATTCCTGCTGAATTAAATAAATGAGTAAGTAGGTAAATGGGTACAGAGGTGAATACTATCCTCTAAGGCCACCCTTAGACATATTTCCTATTAACAGAAACAATGCAATTTGCCTCCACACCTTAGTGACTAATTAAAAATACCAGTTTTCCTCTGTCTCCACTAATGCCAGGAAGAACTATCTTTTATTTATTCATACCTGTATGATCCCTTCTATCATTGCCTGATAAGGGGGGGGGGCTGGTAATTATAAAACATCAATCACTGTGATGTACAGTACAGTGATGGTTTTCACCAGTTTTTTTTTGTTTGTTTGTTTTTATATGGAGGATGAGGTTTTGAGGATGTTTAGAGGCCAAGGGGGAGGGGGACAGAATCTAATGCAGGGAAGGTGAAGGCAAGGGGGCTTTGGAGAAGTCCCAGCTCATGACAGCATCACCTCATCCCCTCGGAGGGAGCAGTTCTGTTTTGATCTGTTTTATATATTGAAGCTGTATGAAAGAACCTGCTTGAGATTAGGATACACCACTAAAAAAGTTTGAAGCCTGAGTTCATGACTGTGTGAAGTATTAAACAGAGGGGCGCCTGGGTGGCGCAGTCGGTTAAGCGTCCGACTTCAGCCAGGTCACGATCTCACGGTCCGTGAGTTCGAGCCCCGCGTCAGGCTCTGGGCTGATGGCTCAGAGCCTGGAGCCTGTTTCTGATTCTGTGTCTCCCTCTCTCTCTGCCCCTCGCCCGTTCATGCTCTGTCTCTCTCTGTCCCAAAAATAAATAAACGTTTGAAAAAAAAAATTTAAAAAGTATTAAACAGAAAGATCTATCTTCTGAAGTCAACGGACGAAGACTGGCTTGAGTTGTTCTGACATTCAGGCTAAATTTGAGTCATCAAGGCAAGACATATTAAAAGGTAGTGTTGAGAGATAATTCTGGCACTTCTGGATGGCTTTCAGAGCAAAGAGCACTGACAACTTTGTTCAAGGATATTTGCAAAGTTGCTCCAGGCAGGGAGCAGGTTTGCTTATTCTCCAGGATAATGAAGCTCATTTCCCACCCTCCCTGGAGATAGTCCAGGGTGATAAGGATAATATCTCCCTCTGAGTCAGTAGGCAGATTTGTTTCCTGATCAGAATAATAAAGATAATGTCTCTCTTTGCAGGGATGGATGGACAGGTTTATCAGTAGTTCCTTGAATAGACGGGGGTTTTTCTAAGCTCAAATCTCCTTACTATGACACAAACCCATTGCGTGTGCAGTGTCTACCTGGGCCTATCTCTGCATGGCTGCCATGGAATTTGGGGTGCAAGAGCAACCAAAGTGAACATGGAGTTCATGCAGTCTTCTGTGCCACGTGTACTAAACTGTACAGATCCATTTGGTCTCATTGCCTCCCTACTGGATGAATCTAAGGAAGTTTGGCGAATTGACCTAGCAGTTGTGGTTGTGGCAGCTGTTCAGGAACTGCTTGGTGGCTGGACAGGTAGGACTTTCGCCCTTATCTTAGAATCTTGACCAGGAGTACCTTACCTGAAAGATAAGTTCCCACTCTTTCCCGTGATTTTCACTTTGTATGAGAGCCCTTAGTCATGTGATAGACTTTAGTAACAGCCTTCCTGATGACATTTGAGTTAATGTGCTCCCTATGTACAACTGTGTTCAAAACAAAACTATTGCTGTTAATATTTCTTTTCCTGCTATCCTATGGAGCATCCCTCCCCCACCCCTATCTATCCACAAAAGTACTAAAAGACTGGGATTCCCTAGTCATCCCAGGTGTCTGGGATCAGGAAATCCTTGGAAGGGCAATAAACCACACCCATTATAATTCAACTTAAGGACCCCTATTACTACCTTCACAAAAATACCCTCTCAGACCTGAAGCTAGACAGGGACTATAGCCCATAATCACCAAGTTTTAAAACATGGGCTTCTTGTTCCCACAACTCCACTCTACAGCACTCCCATCCCAGCAGTTAAGAAAAAGGACAACAGCTATCACCTAGTACAAGACCAATGAGCTGTTAATGAGGCTGTTATACCTCTACACCCAATTGTACTGAATCCATATGTCATACTGAGTACCATATCTCCAAAGAGCCTCTGCTTTATGGTCCTGGACCTTGAAGATACTTTCTTCTGCATTCCATTGGCTCAACAATCCCAATTTCTGTTTGTGTTCTGTTTATATTTGACAGTTCCCAACAGCTTACCTGGACACTACTCCCACAGGGATTCAGAATAACCTCCATCTGTTTGGCCAAGCACTCTCTAAGGATTTGCAAAACTTACTAATTGAGGGGGGGGGGACTATCCTCCAATATGTGGGCAATTTGCTCATTTGCTCCCCTACTCAAGAGTTGGCCATTCCTTAAAATCTTCTCTGGAAACTAGGCAAGGCCCTTTATAACTCCACTCATTTAGGATGAGATGCCTTACAAACTCTCATTTCCAGAACATTCAAAAGTAAAAGGCTTTCTCAAGTGGTTCAACAAATAACCCTCTCTTGCCCCACCTGCACATATATCAACCCCCAGGGCATCTGTTGGCCTCAATTAATCCAACCAATACCGAGGCATGGATCCTACCCTGGGAAAGACTGGCAGATGGATTTTACTCAGAGGACACCCTGAGGAGGATACAAATACCTCCTTGAGCTTGTTGACACCCTTACAGGATGGATAGAGGCATACCCCACAGGGACTGAAAGGGCAATTGCAATAGTCAACAAACTTCTATATGAAGTCATCTCCCAATTTGGCCTTCCAAACTCACTTCAGACTGACAATGGACCCCCCCACCCCCCACCCTTTGTGGCCACTAGAGTTCAAACTGTCCCCTAAGCACTGGATGTCAAATACCACCTCCATTGTGCTTGGAGGCCACAGTCCTCCAGGAAGGTGGAAAGGGCCAACTGATACCTAAAAGGTACTTAAAAAACTCACATAAGAAACATCATTAAATTGGAAAAAAGCCTTGCCAATTGCCCTTCTCCATAGTTATGCTGCTCCTAAGGAAGCCCTGGGTTTAAATCCTTTCACGGTCCCCCATGGGTGACCCCTCCTAACTACAGACTTCTTGCTAGATTTAGAGACTCTAAGAATACAAACTCACATTATCTCTCTATCCAAATTTCAACGGGCTTTAAAGAAATACGGCCTAACGGTTTCCACTACCAAACAGGAGTCACCTTGTCTATGTGAACCTGATGACCAGGTTCTAATCAAAGTCTGGAAAGACAGCTCCCCTAAGTCCTAACTAGAACGGACTTGGAAAGTGCCTTTCCTGATTCTTTTGTCTCCTTCTACAGCCATCTAGGTACCAGATATCCCTGGCTGGATCCATCACTCCAGAGTCAAACCCTGGAATCAACCCCAGCAGACATCACAGATGCCTACTCCTGTGTACCCCTCAAAAG